CGCGCGCGCCGCGCCGCGCCCCGCGGCCGTTAACGGCACGGCCGTTAGGAGGCGACGCCTCTGAGGAGAGGCGTGGGGCCTCGCTGGCCGCGGTCGGAGTTAAATTGGCGGCCGCTGGGTTGGAGAGGTCGCCGGAGTGTTATTAGGTAATTCCCATAGCTTGGCTAGAACCAGAAGGAGAGAGGGGGGGGAAAAAAAAAAAAAAGGTGGAAGTGCCCAAATTTCTGGTTTTGGGTTTGGTGTGAGTGTGGCAGGGTGGCGTGGTGGATGTGTGGACCTTGTGGGTGGCTGGTATCCTTGTGCCCTGCAGGTCTGTGTCGCAGCATATGGGCTCCAGGAGACCCTTCCCTAGTGCCAGCTTGTGCTGGTCTGTGGTGCTGCCGTTTTGAGGTGTTTTTCCATGCTCTCTGATGGTGTCTAATGGAAAGTGGCATTCCTGGTCTTTAGCTTGCAAGGCACAAAACAATAATTACAGTACCTAATGGCAGCTGGGTGAGTGACAGGGATTGCTACCAGAGGAGACTGCCAGGTGACCTACAAGCCCAGGTCGCTTGGAAGCTCTGCTTATTTTTGCATGTGCTTGCAATGGAATGCCATTTAGTTTGAGTTAGCAGAGAGAAAATGCAAAGCGTTTTGGCCTTTGAGGCATGACTGCAAGCAAGATTTGCCAAGTAAGCAGCCTAGCTCCTTTAAAACCACTTGGAGGCCAGGAGGGTTTTCCAGCAAGGCCTTCATCAACTCTCCGGCACGTGAGGCTGCGTTGCTATTCTGAGCTACCCAGCAGGCTTGGGAAGCAATTGCGGCTAAACGTAAATTAGAGCCACTCCATGGCTTTTCTGACTCGCTTACACTGAGATCACAGTAGTGACAAAACAGGCTCAGAAACTTTATTTTTAAATCCTGTGCTAAGTGCAGCCTGGCCACAGTTGACAAGTAGGCATGTTGTCTCTGATTTTTCAAGTCCTTCGTTCTTGTTTATGGAGCTTTGCTAGTTGTAATCTGTCTGGCAGGCAAGACAAATAATCCTTTTCTGGTTTACATTTTATTATCATCTTCTAGTTGCTTAATTAGAGCAGCAGCCAGATTCTGTAATAAACAAGCTGCTTGAAGGCTGTTTGTTCATAAAGTACACTGAAGGCCCCAACTCAGTGTTTAAACACTAGCTTAATTTTACTTGGTGGAAAATTTAGGTGCTTGCTGAAATGCTTGAATTTTGTGGGGCTGAATTCAAAATATATGTCTGAGAAAAGTAATATTTGATAAACAGTCCTCACATGTTTGAGTCACTTTTGCGTGATGATGAAGGAGTGAGCGTGGACTACTTTCTACTTGATTAGAAGTTGAGCATCTTTTCTTGAACATCTTTTTTGTGGTTATGGTATTGGTCCACCTGTGAGGTGGTTAGGATTGGTGTCTGTGTGCCTTTGTAGAGTACTTGGAATATAGTCTAGATCTAAAGGTCTCCTATGTCATTTTCCTAGCTGGAAAAGAAAACTGAATTCATTTCATATTCCTGCCAGATATTTGTAGCAGTAGCTTGATGTTCAGGAAGGAATAAATTATTCCTTGTATGTTGAAATTTCAACTCCCACCATTTTTGATGTTCAGTGACACCATGTGCCTTTTGCAGCTGCATAAATACATATGCCCCTCCACCCCACCCCAAGAAGGCTGACAGCTGAAATAGCTTTTACTTTGAAACATACGTTCCTGTTAGAATCCAGATGAGAGCTACTCTCGCTTCCTTTACATTCATTCTTTGAAATATAATGGAGGTTTGGGAAATACTGGACACCCACACCAAACCTCCATGTCACGTGGGATGAGAGATCATAATATCTCAGATGGTGTATATCTTATTTATGAGCTGGGATATGGATATGACTCGGGTAGGGATTGAGGAAAGTCCCCTTGTGGGGGAGAGCTCATGAGCATTTGAGCACCACTTAGCTTCCCTTTCAGTCAATAGAAGGAAAGTGCATGCTTAAAACCCAAGAAGTGCTTAATGTTGGTATTTTTCTTTCCAAGTAGGAAGTGTATATGACACACTCTATATTTCTTCTGTTTTATTTTTTCCTAGTACATTTCTTTTTTAATATATTATGTAAATGTTTACATACAGTTTCAAGATTTAGGTACATTCCTTGTACTCTGTAGCACTCACGACTGTACTCAACAGTTATTTAGGTACAGTGTTTTTTGTGTGTCTTTCATATAGTTCATATTGCATGTCTTGTGCCCAGTGTCCATCTTCTAAGCAGCAGAAGGGTGTGGGTAGGTGACCGGGGAGCTGGCCCCAGGACCCCATGCGTTCAGGGCAGTGGCAGCCTCCGCCTCCTGGGCCATTGGTTGGGTGTCCTTGCTCATCCGCTGGTGCTGCCGATCCGCGCGGGGCATGGGGCCCTTGCAGGGAACCTGGCCAGGCCACGTGCCCAGCTGTAGCACCAGAGGGCTGCAGCCTCTAGGTTGGAGTGCAAGGTCTGTGGGCACCAGGGCACAGATCCTTATCAAGTTGGAATCAGTAAGATGCATCCATCTTTGCAGGCTGGGTTTGGCAATGGCTGCCGGGATAAAGCCTGTGTAGGTGCCTCTTGCTCCCTGCCCTCCCCTTTCTCCATAGGTACTGTTACTCGAAAGCTACCAGTAGGAGTTGGAAACCTGTGAAATGCTGCGCAGGAGCGGTGCAGCGCTGGCACCCTGCGTCTGCCGCACGTCCCCGGCCCATGATTGAAACCATGTGTCCACACGGGCTGCCGCTGCCGAGCTGTGCAGGAAACCCTTCCTTCCTTTCCTTCTCTCTCACCGGCAGTGTCTTCCCTGGAGCGAGTGGAGCAGTGCTGACTTTTAAACAGCATAAAGGGAACTCGCAGCCGCTCAGCTCCCTGTGGGGACAGGGTGGCCGCGCGAACGGTTCCCCTCCTCCTCCCGCTGCCCTGGGGCCCCACGGGGCAGCGTGGCCCGGGCTGGCCCGGCCGGCGCCCCGCGGACCCGGGGCCGAGCGTGGCCGGGCCGGGACCGCGCTGCCAAGCAGGTTTCTTTGTTGGCTGCTGGGCGACTGGTTCCCATTAATCTCCCGCACTGGCCGGGGCCGTCTCCACTTCCTGCCTTCGCATACTTCTCTCTCCCTCCATCCCAGTCCCTCCGCCTTCCTTCCCTCCCTTCCCCCCTTTCCTTTCTCTCCCTCTTCCCAGCTTCGCTCTTTTAGAGCTGCAGCTGCCCGGGCGGCGGGAGCCGAGCTGCGGGCGGCCGCCGGCGGGAGCCCCTTGGTAAGCACTGCGGGGACGAGGACAGGGGCGCCAGCTCGCGCCGTGCTCCGCTATGTGGAGGTGCCGCTGGCGCGGGGGGAGCGCCGTGGGGCCGGACAGGGGCGAGCAGGGCAGCGGGGCGAGCGTCTTCATCCTCCTGTGCACGCTCCGCTCGCATCGCCTGTCCCGCCGACTGGTCTTTGCTCGTTGGAAGGGGGAGCCACCTGGTCTCCCGCAGCAAACTTGCGATTCCAGGATAGATTTAGCTGAAGAGCTGAGGAAGCTGCTTCAGCAGTTCCCTTGGTGGGAAAATCGGACGTTCTGCTCTTGGCTTGCTCCCAAGCGCTTGCCTTCCTAAGGAGCACTTAGGTCACCATAATCATAGAGTAGCAGCAGCGTATTAGAGACCCTCCTATGTTGACTCCAGTTATTTTTTGCTCAAATGTACTTTGACTCATAGTAGTCAAGCCTAACAAACCCAGATATGTAACACAGTTAGATAGAGCATGTTGATAATAATGCCTTATTTACCCTGTTACACTGACTTTGGGGAATAGTTTTTTTTTCTGTTATATTCTGTGTAATGATTTAGGCTTTAACTTCAGCCAGATATTGAGTAACTCAATATAAAACATTCAGAAGGATCAAAACATTTGGAAAATAAAGGATGTAACTGTTACTCATAGTTTGATTTCTGATAAAGCAAAACAGGATGAACTGAACAGAGATTGACTTGCATTTAAGCTTTGATATTGTTTTGACTGGGTGTGACTAATATATAATCAGTTGGTGGAAAATATTCCATATTCTGAAAGGGTAAATTCACATAGAAGTATCTCAGATTTAAGATCAAATTTTTCAAGATTTTGTCAATATGAGTAAAGCAAGTCTGTTTTAGGAATGTCAACACTTAGCTTGTATTTTGATCA